GAAATCGTCCTGGACATAAATCGTGCAGTATTGCCCTTATAGTCTTTTCTTTTGAAGTTAGTCTCAGGAAAGGCTTGTTTCATTAAAATAAATGTTAAAATCTCACAGTATTTGTCTTGCCTCTGTTTTAACGAATTGGCTGAAATGGACCTAAGTTTTTCCAGCTTTACAAGACACAGTCAGTCTCTAAATTGAGAATTGTGATATAGTCCGCCAGTATAAATGGTCCACCACGGTATGAGTTCGGACAGCTCTTTCGCAACGTAGGAATTTATTCGGGCCAAACATTAAACAGTTTAAATGGCATTATTCATCGAGAGTCGCTTGAACAGTACTGTAGTGCCCCTTTTTCTGACTATAGCACACACAACGATGGGAGCGTTTTGGACCAGTCATTTGTCTATCTCGGATAATATTGGCTTATCTGTATGAGATGGCCAGTAAACAGTATTTTCTGGTTTGGGTATGTGTTTCGCATCTTTAAAGTGTAAAATATTGGTCCAAAATTGGATTGGTCCAGCACCCAGTCTTATCCAGACTGGGGAAGTAGTAGAAGAAATAGATAAGTTTTGCTATTCCGGCAGCTATACTTTACCTGGCTGACGTATCACAGATGAAGTGTCGGTGCGCATACAAAAGGCTCCGTTGGCATGTGCCAACTTGAGACATTTCAGGTGCCGTCGTGACATCCAACCGTCTGTGAAAGGTGGGGTATAAGCAACAGCAGTTCGGCCAGTCCTGCTCTACGGTGCAGAGACTTGGCCAATACGGGAACTGGATAAAAATAGATTGTCGGTGTTCGAACAGCGCTGTCTACGTAGCATTGCACGTGTCTGGTGGGGTAACCGGATGGGCAATGCTGAGGTTAGGCATAGAGTTTTAGACAGTTGCGATAGCTCACTCTAGCTAGTGATCGACCTCCATGGATTACATTGGTTGGGTCCTGTGTTACTTATGTCACTAAATAGGTTGCCATGGCGCACGATGTTTGCCAAGGCAGGTAATGGGTGAGAAAGAGCCAGGAGTGGTCAGAATAGGACCTGGTATGAGGGTATGAAAACCCTGACCAGGGGACCCGGCTACATATGTCCTATTAGGCTCCCTGGCCAGGGACCTTGGGCGATCTTCGCCGATGGTTAGAGACACTGAGCGATATGGCTGGGTATCGCAAACAGTGGCGCTCTTGCATATACTCGTTATTCTCTTAAAACCACTGTGTATGAATTCCCCATCTTCCGTTTGAATTTGCTTTCAACATTCCAATTTTCATCCTTTTATCCAAATGGGCAACTAAAAGACGGCAACCAAAACCGGCACACGAAAGTGCACGGTTAATGATGGCAAAAATTGAAAATTGATATTCTGGTTTCCGGCAGCCATTAGCATGTGGACGAAATAAAAGAATCATTATTCAACTAAATAGGTGGGCGTTTTTATGATAGATATATCACCTCTCTGTTTGTTTTCCGTCGTTGTTTTGCTCACACGGTGTTCTATCACCTAAGACCATATTCTCTCTTCCCTGTGTCTTACTCTGTCATCATTTGTAGACGTACAAAGAATACGGCTGGTTCCACCGGACGCTACCCTCCTCTAGCCACTTTCCTTATTCACATAGTGACCAATACAGAGCCGGTTTTATTTTATTATTTACCTCCTATTCCGAACGTGGCAAGACCGGATCCAGCAACCCGGTACGCAGCGGGGCAATTACTCTCCCCGATGCTACTGTCTGTTGTCACNGTTGTCACTTGGCCACTTGCTTTGTTACCACCATCCGCGACGGAATCGCTGACCGTCTATCCAGACAAATATGAACCACGAGTGTTGGCAGTTCGACGATTACTACGTTTGTGAGTTTCAGCCGATTGTTTGTACTCGAATGTGATTGCTTCGTCTGTGTATGTGTGTGTGTGTGAACCACATGAACTGATCCAGTCTGCATGCTTCCATCCCTACCATTACTTCTATCTCGTTGTGTTTGGTCATTCAGGATTGCGGCCATCGTTCACGCCTTACCGTTGGCAAACGAACAGCTCAGTGTTGGCAAATCAACCGATCCAAACAGTTTCCTCAGTCTGGTCGACCGAGCTCGATGGGATCTGACCGGGACTGTAAATTCTTATTTTGCTCAATTGGAGAAAGTTTTGCACCAGTTAGTAAGTCATTCAAATCCGAGTTTCATTGAGCACTATTCTTTCTCTCTCTCGCTCTCTATTTACCCTTTCATGCAAGCAGTCCCCTTTTTCATGAGAACAAGAAGAAGCATCATGATCCCAGACGATGTGTTGAATTCAACTGTTTCATTATAGTCTGAACAGCTGTTCACGTATAAACAGATCACGTTTGGTTAAAAGAGTGGCAGTTTTGGGTACCGGTGAACACACACGAGGAAGAGAAATCAATCAATACGAAAGCCAAAAGTCCCGGACATGGGGACAGGGAGCATAATCACAGTGACACAGTGACACATACCAGGGTAGCGTGAGGCTAGTCACGAATTCGGTCTGTAACGTCGACTGACAGCTACCTCAGCGAGTCGTGGCAGATGGCTACCCTTCTGGTGGATTAAGACACGAAAGGTGTTCATAGGTTTACCAAATTCTTTGCAATCCAGTAAATGATGGGTGATTGAACCGGACGGAACCTTGGGCCCGTTAGACGCCAAAATTTTCACTGTATGCTCTGCTATCCTGGTAGTCAATTGTTCTTCCAACGTACTTACTATCGCACGTCTCACAAAGAGAATCTTGAATAAAGAAAACAGTAGTACAGTGTTGCACGATATTTTTCCGGAAACAGTTGGCCGTATCTCTTCAGGTATATACTGCAGTCAAAGAATATAATAAAATCTAACGAAATAAGACTGAACTGTGCAAGCAGAAAGAGTTATTTGTAACTCTAGCTACCCTACCTTGGTAAAAAAGATGGAGGAAGATAACACTAACAGCTCATTCAGGGTAAATGTTACTTGTCAGTTTTCATTATTTTCTTTGACTGTTTTATGTATCTGAAGAGATACAGCGAAATAAATTGTACAACGATGTGCTTTTGCGTTCTTTATTCAAGTTCATTTCGGGAAACGGTTGGTTCAACAAAGAGGACCATTAGCGACTAAGCAACAAAACACATACGAGTTCATAGGTTTACGAGCAACAAACAAAATGAAACGAGTCTTTCATAGTCCATTTAGAAAACCTTTGCTTGATTGGTTAAATTAATTTGGCCATTCGTTGTGAGAACTTTTGGTGGAGTGCCTCAATCATAGACAGTATGAGCTGCAGTGAAAGACCA